GGTATATGATAAGATTATGTCACACAATCTTTTTTATTAGTACTAGGGATTGAACTTGGGACCTTGTGCTTGCAAAGCAGGTGGCGGAACCACTGAGCTAAATCCCTAGCCCCACACAATACATTTTTTTGGCTGAACTTTTCTGGTTTCTTAAAATAATCCATGGTCACTATGAAAATTAGAAGTTACAGAAAAATGGAAACCTAAATTACTCAGAATCTCATTACCCAGAGGTAGTACCTGATTTTTATTACCTATTTTTATGTCTTGAATACAGGCAGTTTGCTAAAAAAATATTTCATTGTATAATCCATTATAATGCAGTTTAACAAAAAGGTACTGCCTCTTATTCATAGAGGAGCCTGACACAAATAATGCATAAAATAAGTAAAAAGTAACATTGCATTTTTGCCTCTCTATATTCAAGCTCCTCTCTTTTTCCCTTTTTTCTTTTTCCTGAAATGTTACTGGAAATCTCTGCAGTAGGCTCTAGTCTCCAGCTCAGTGTACCATGCAAGCCTGAGGGAAAAAAAACTGAAAGATAGAACTAAGACAGTGTGGTGCCACAGTGACCAATACCAGTGCAAATGACAAAGTCCCTGGTTTGTCCAAGCTGCTCTTTTTTTTTTGGTATAGGGGATTGAACTTGGGTCCTTATGCTTGTAAGGCAGGCGGCAGAACCACTGAGCCAAATCCCTGGCCCCAAGCTACTCATTTTTATTGGTAATCAGTTGGAGTAAGGTGAGCTATATGCAAGGGCACATAGTCCTGCGGTTTCTATGGAAATTACTGTAAGCAAACCTTATAAAGGACAAGACAGAGCATTCTCAAATTAGGAACAGAATACACAAAATGTATGGTTGTAATTAGAACATTGTCCTTTCTAGTTAAGAAGGTTTTAGTTATGGGAACAGAATTTGGGTGTGAGTTACTCTGACCTTGGCACATAGGTTTCAGTCTGACTCACTTCTATTAAAAAAACCAATTGTGGGGTTCACTCTTTACAGCCTATACTGCTTTGGTCATAAACAATATTGCAGTCTCACACACACATGAGCTCTTCTGTTTATTTCTGCTCATGGAAAATCATTTTCTTCATGCTGTTATACATCTAGTATTTCTCCACTAGTTCAATGATTACTTCTCTGACAGAAAAGAATGAACATTTTCCTGTCTGGATTGAAAAATTAATCAGAAATAACTATGCCTATCTGGGCATGGTGGCACATGCCTGTAATCCCAGCACTCAGGAGGCTGAAGCAGAAAGATCACCCTGAATTTGAGGCCAGACTGAGCTACATAGTGAGTTCAAGGCCAGCCTCAACGACATAGCAAGACCCTGACTCAAAACACAGACAGCAACAACAGAAAAAAGATAACTAGACCTTTACATTTGGTAGCATTTGATCATCCTCCTTGTTGAAACAGTTCTCTCCTTGAGATTTGCAGCACCACGCTCCTCGTGTCACTGCCTCACTGCACTCCTTGTCTCCTTTTGCTGACACCTTCCATCCACATGCTAGAGTTCCTAAGCCTTGGCCCTCAGGCCTTCTCCATGACAGGAGCAGACCCAAAGGCTGATGGCCTGTGTGTGCTGAGGATCTAATTTGTGTCTATACTCCATTCCTCCCTAAACTCCACAAAATTTCAATATCCCAGGTCCCAAAGCCACTGTATTTACCCAGTGGCTCAGCACAGAAACCTAAATTATCCTTCCTTACTAAATTACCTTTCCTTAGTTTCCCAGTTTTCATCTAATCTATCGCCAAGTTCTGTTATCTCTATCTCCAAAGCACGTCCAGATCCTACCACTTCTAATCCTCTCCACTGTGCCTGTGCTCTTTTAGGGGATGATGGCTTCCTAATTGGTCCTTAGCACCCTTATCCTCATCCTTCTTTATAAAATCTGTGGTCCATTTAGTAGCTAGAGAAACCTTTTTAAAGTGTAAAATAGACCTATGCTTAATGCTGATTTGGGATCTGGAGCAAGGAACAAAAGTACAAGATGACTATGAAGAGAAGATGTTAACAGTAAGAGAAGTGAAGAAAGAATAAAGCTATTATCACTAAGTTGAAAATGGTGCATATGGACAGAAACTCTGCAGTTTTTTATAACTTAAGATCACATCAAAAATGAGGATTTTTTATTTATTTATTTTATTTATTTATTTTTTTTGAGATGAGACCTCCTACCAGCACTGGGTCCTGTCCAGGGTGAACTTCCAGAAGTATGTGGGCGGCCAGGGTGCTATGTGTTAGATGCAGTGACTGATGTGTGGGTTTGTCATCTTATTTGTCCCCATGGGTTTGTGCTCCAAACACAAGTGGTTCTAACTTGTGCTTGATGGAGACCTGCTACAGAAGTAGCAGAAGAAATCCTACAGAGAAACCTATACACACTACTGTTACTGCCTTTTTGTGTGTTTTCTTTTGTTTGAGACAGGGTCTTGCTGTGTAGTTCAGCCTGGCCTTGAACTCATTATGTAGCCCAGGCTGATATCAAACTCATGGGAATCCTCCTGCCTCAGCCTCCCATGTGCTGGGATTACAGACATGGGCCACCATGTTTGGCAATGTTAACCATCTTCACTGTGTTAACAGGTTGTCTATCTGCAAGACCTTTTGTCCCAGGCTAAGTGGAAAATTTGCTACCAGAAATAGGAGAAGATTGCCAAGTATCTTAAGCAAGAAATAGTTTGTGCTAGTCAGCTGGAGTGGTCTAAAAGTGCCACCAGGTATACTTATCTAAAGAATTTAAGGAGGCTCGTTTCAGAGCTGTATGTTTGGGAAAACTGTCACCCTTTTTTTCTTTTTGGAACCTGAATCGAACTTGGGTCCTTGTACTTGCAAGGCAGGCGGCAGCACTACTGCGTTTAATCCCCAGCCCTGTCACCTTTTCAGAGCCACTGTGTTGGTCTAGAATCATCTTCCAACGAGAATTTTTGTGTGTGTTGCTCTCTGGAATTTTAGGATGGGCAGCACATTCAGATGGTTTTTCTGTTCAGGAGCCTTTGGCTACTGGTGGAGTTCTGTGGTTTCTTGATCTCACGCACAGGATTCTGCGCATCTCTTTGGGTGTCACCAACTTCCTAATAGTGGAGATTTTTGCTTTACAAAGACTCAGAATGCCCATTCTCAGATGCGCGTCATGTGCTTTGTTGTTTCACCACTGATGGTTCCAGTTGCTGCAGCTGTACCTCCATCAGTTGTTCTCTGCTGGTGCTGCTCAGCTTTATAGGTCTTTCACAGAACTTGCTGTTCTGTTCGCACGATTTCGCCAACCTTGCTGAATACTGTTGGCCAAGTCAGATTCAGGTACTTCTTGTAAAGACCCTTCCCTGCCTTTTATGCCAAGTTCATATCAAGAAAATGTCGTTTTCCAATAATCTTGAAATAATTGCAGGTGTCACTATCATCTTTATGTATTTAGTTTTAATAATTCAGGTATCGTGTAATTTGCCAGGGATGTAGCTCAGTGACAGCACACCTGCCTCCCAAGTGCAAGATTGTGAGTTGGATCCCAAAACAAACAAACAAACAAAAACACCCCAAGGTATTGGGAGATTTGCTTTTATTTAAAAATTATGGGGCCCGCGATTTAGCTCAGTGGTTCGCCTGCCTGCTTTGCAAGCACAAGGACCCGCGTTTGATCCCTAGTACCAAAAAATAATAATAATAAAAAAAATAAAAATCATGAACTCTGTGAAGACTGTGGGTTAAAATGTAAGCCTGATATATTTGACAATAATTAAAATATTCAAGTGTTAGAAATGTAGTATGTTTAACTGTAAAAGAGTATAAAAATGGAACGAAAGTGTTGTCCCTGTTCAGAAAATTACAACTTGTTAGAGTTGCCAGAACTTTGAAGAATGAAATCACAGTGAATGGTGTCAAATTGTACTAAAAAGTTTCATGTATTAAAGTTGTGTAGCCAGGTGTGGTGGCACAGATCTGTAACCTCAGCACTCAAAGCTGAGGCAGGAGGATTGCCTCAAGTTCAAGGCCAGTCTGGGCTACATAGTGAGTTCAAGACCAGCCTGAACTAGAAAGGAAGGGAGAAAGGAAAAGAAAGAAAAAAATTTTGTGAAGTTAAAAAAAAAGAAACAAAATGATATATAATATAAAACAAATAGGTAGCCAGCATGGTAGCACACACCTGTAATCCCAGCACTCAGAACACGGAGGTAGGGAGGATCAAGTTTGAGGCTATCCTGGACTGTATAGCAGGACTGTCTCAAAAAAATCAAAATAGATAAATAACCAAACAATTGGCTCAAGTGAACACACATGTGTACACCCCACAGATTTCCTTTTACCATATCATTTGAAAGTTGGTTAAAATATTATAGGTTGGCCCATACCTGTAGTCCCAGCACTTGGCAGACTGAGGCAGGAGGATTACTGCAAGTTTGAGACCAGCCTGAACTACATAGCGAGATTCTCTCTCAAAAAGAAAGAAAAGAGCTGGATGTGGTGGTGCATGCCTGTAATCCCAGCACTTGGGAGGCTGAGGCAGGAGGATCACTGGGAGTTTGAGACCAGCCTGGGCTACATAGTGAGTTCCAGGTCAGTCTCAACTACATAGTGAGACCCTGTCTCAAAAAAAAAAAACAGAAAAAGAAAAAAAAGCTTCAGTATGTATCTTCCCAAAGTAGGAACGTTCTCCTGTACAGCTATAAAATAGTACTGCAGCTGAGAAATACTAATATTAATTCAATCTCATGCTCCATAATGTATGCAGCCCTTATTCAAAATGTCCTCTCTCTCTCTCTCTTTTTTTTTTTTTTTTTTAGTACTGGGGATTGAACTCAGGCCCTTGTGCTTGCAAAGCAGGTGGCAAAACCACTGAGCTAAATCCCTGCTCAAATTGTCCTCTTTGAAGCTTCACTTATAGAAGAAAATCATACTATACCTTTTAAATGTATGGGGGGTGCTATCTCTTGTAGAAGAAAATGACTACTCTTGCCTTACTCTGCTTTTCTTTTTTTTTTGTGGTGTAGCTGCTTACATCCATTTTTGACAATAGCATCAAGGCTTTTGGAGTAATTGAAAGTGACCCTTTTGACTGGGAGAAGACTGGAACAGATGGCTCTCTGACAGCTACCACCACTTCTACCACCCCTCAGCCACACACCCGCCTGACTCCTGCTGCCATTGGGTATGTCCTGAACAGCTCCTTTAGTGCGACCTCTTTAGTGTGCACTGCACTGGCAAAAACTGCCTTTAGTTCATCTACATTTGTTCAGATGATTAAATGCTAAAACACAGAGGAAAGCATGTGGATATCTTTGAATTAAACTTGCTTTTGTATATGACTGTGAGATTACCTACCTTAAAAGATAATGGTTGGTCCTGTGAAGTGGGAGCTCAGAGCTTCTATGACTGTTGATGTCAGATTTACAGTGGGTTTTCTTCAGACATTAGTCAAAGCATTAATTCTACTTCTGAAAAATATGTTGGATCCTAAAAAGAATAAAATACAATTATTTCTAACTATACTGATTCATTGCTCCTGACTCAGTAGGAGCAAAGCACACAGCATGTTACTCTTACAAAAGGGATTTAATGTACTTAGTATGTTAGGAACAGATTATGATATATTTTCATGCTCTAATTTTTGGTTTGGGTTTTTTTCCCCCTTTTTGTGGTAATTGAAATTGAACCCAGGACTTCATGCATGCTGTGCAAGTACTATTCCACTTTCCACATCCCCAGCCCTTTTTCATTTTGAAGTGGTCTCACAAATTGCCCCTGCACTTGGGATCCTCCTGCCTTGGCCTGCTGAGACTGGATTCCAAGTGTGTACCACCATATCTGGCTAATTCTGTGTTCTTAGTTTTTTGTGTTTTTCCTATTATATATGTTGAATGCAATTCCTCATGTTCTTTTGATTTTTGGTTTGTCTTTTTCCCATGATCTGCTTTTGTTGTGCTTTGGTCTCTAAGCACAAAGTACATATGTGCTAATAATATTCTCACACTGACTTGCTCATTCATACTCCTGAACGTGCCAATATTTTCCTGGGAAGCCATTGTTTATCTTAGGTCAGACTCCAGATTTGAATTAGATTTTAAGAAAAGGCAGATAAGATAAGATTAACTATGGGAAGTATCAAAAGTGTGGAATAAACACAAAGGGAAGGTGAAAACCCAAGTCGTGTGTGACACCGCCAGTGTGGAAAGATGGATGAGTCCCTCTAGGAATGTGGCATTATCCTGAAGCACCAGGGATGAGAGGGGGACTAGAATCGAGGGAAAACGGCCGCAGTTTCAGAGGTGGAGTAGAGAGAAAGGCTAAGGAGCCGGGAGTAGTTGGAAAGAAAGAAAATAATGCTGGGCATAAGGGGAGAAAGGATTTGGAAGAATACTTGAGTGATTCAAGGGGATATAGCTCAGTGGCATCATTCCTGCCTGGCAAGCACAAGGTCCTGAGTTCGATCCCCAGTACCGGAAAAAAAAATATATGAAAAAAGGTATCTACGAGACTAAATGTCTGGAGTACAAATATAGTTATCCATTTGCCTTTCCCTTTCCTCGGGAGTAGAGAATTCTTTGAATAAACTTGGAATACCATATAACTCACATAGCATATATGTCTATTGTTTTTGCCTCGGTGAATAAATTATATTGAGCTTCTCTCTGAAGAATCTTTTTGTAGCCTACTTATTTCTGATCTTTAATTAATTCTATATAAATCCATTCATTTAAAGTATTTTAGGCCAAACCACCCTTTTAGTGTATTCCATAGTCAACTGTAGGGACTACTAGGCTGTGCAGATTTTTCCTGGGAGGCATTACTCGTGCTTTTCCAGATTACTTACTCATAACCTGTTGATAAAGAGGTTCACCCAGCACTGAGCCACTTGGGCAGAAGTGGTAGTGGAGGTCATCAAGGCAGGAGGAATGCTGCTTGGAAGACACGGGTCTTGTCACAGGCATGTGAAGTACATGTGTTCCCCTTAGAGATTCCCTGCAAGGGTGCCCACGTTGCCACTCACAATGAATACTTGTGTGAGTTGATCCACCTTGCACTGTATTTTCCTAGATTCCAGGTCAGTTGTAAGAAATTCATCATTTGTTGTTTGGCTTTTTATTTTTCTTAGCAGTACCAGAGATTGAACCCAAGGAGTTCTGAGCTACATCCCAGCCTTTACCCCTGACCCTTGCCTGTGGGGATCAAACCCGGGGCCCTCACAGTGAGCTACACCTCCAACCCTTTTTCTTTTGCTTTTTTTCCTGGTACCAGGGTTCAAACTATGGACCTAGCGCTTGCGAGGCATGTGGCAGAACCACTGAGCTAAATCCCTGGCCCTCCAGCCCTTTTTTTTATTTTGAGACAAGGTCTCACTAAGTTACTGAGTTGCCCAGCCTGGGCTCAAACTTGCCATCTTCTTGCCTCACATTCTTAGAGTGCTGGGTTTGAAGGTGTGCACCACTGTACCCAGTTTAATTTTTTATTTCAAGACAATCTCCCTGAATTGGCCAGACTGGGCCAGAACTTACATTCTTGCTGCCTCAGCCTCCTGAATAACTGGGATTACAGGCATGTGCCACCACACTCAGGTGTTTTTATTCTTTAGTGATGCTGTTAACGAAAACCAGGGGTTCAAGCATGGCAGTCAAAGGCTTTACCCCCAGCCCTAATTGTGTACTGAATACTGTCAGCAACATTTTGTTTTTTTTTTTTTTTGAGACAGGGTCTCACTATGTAGTTGAGACTGACCTGGAACTCACTGTGTAGCCCAGGCTGGCCTCGAGCTCCCAGCAATCCTCCTGCCTCAGCCTCCCAAGTGCTGGGATTACAGGCGTGCACCACCACACCCTGCTTTCAGCAACATTTTTAAAAAGCAAAGAAGTGTAGAATGTGAGAGCTGACAAGCCTTTTCTCACAATAAATAAGAACTGAAAAGCTTATAGACCAGGACATAGGGTTACTTTGAAAGAAATATGCAGAAAAATACCGTAAAATACGTTGCATTTTTCCCATGTAGAACTATCTGAACTATATAGTTGCAGACTTTCTAGTTTCTCTTATAGGGCAAAATTTTTTTTTCTCCTCTTTGTGTTGCAGGGGCAGGTTGGGGGATGTTTAATAAAAATTTTATACATGAAAAAACTGCACATTTCATCCTATAGAATGGTAGATTGATCTGACACTTCTTTATTTCCTTATGGAACTTAGTAGTTTCCTGCATATTATTTGTATTTTCTATGAAAAATGGGTAAAGAAAAAAAATGTTACTATAACTGATAGAAAATAGACCAAATGTTTTTTTACTTTTAAAGTGATTGTCTAATCAATGAAATATTATGTTAGAATTTGTTTCAAATCATGTTCAAAATTCTGAATTTTCAAAATTTAGATTTTTTTCCTTTTTTCTTTATTGGTACATTTTAGGTATATAATATAGTTACATTCATCATTGAGATCTTGTACCTTTACATGATATATCTTTGTTCTCATTTTTCCCCATTCTCCTGCCCTCGCTTTACCCCCTTCACCCTTCCCTATTTATATAGACTTTGTTTCCATTTTTTTTCTTTTATTTTTTCTTTTCTTTTCTTAGCTTTCCCCTACCCTTCCTACTTCCCCTACACATTTAGACATTTTTTCCTATTACACAATATCAATTATACATTTTGATTCTTATTTATACTTTTAGTTTATCACACCAGAGAAACTATTCAGTATTTACACATCTGTGTCGTATTAATTTCACCTAAGAGTATGGCCTCAGTGTGCATCCACTTAGCTCTGTCTCTAGTTTCTCATTCTTTACATCTGAGTAGTACTCCATTTTATAAAAATACTACATCTTCTTTATCCAGTCTCCTGTTGATGGGCAATTGGGCTGTTTCCAAGTTTTAGCTATTACAAACTGTGCCACTATAAACATGGGTGCACATATATTGCTGTGGTATGATGCTTTTAATTCTTTTGGGAAGATCCCCAGCAGAGGAATAGCTGGGTCAGATGGGACCTTTAATTCAAGTTGTTTGAGGTATCTCTATATTGATTTCCACAGTAGATTTTTTTTTTATAATATTGGCATGACATGTTTTCAAAAAGTTATTATTATTATTATTTTTTTAAACCCTCTTAATTAGGCTGGTTTAGCTCAGTGGTTCTGCTGCCTGCCTCTCAAGCGCAAGGTCCAAGTTCAGTCCCCAGTACCAGGAAAAAAAAAAACCCTCTTAATTATGTGTGAGCTTCATTTCATCTCATGGTTATTTATGATTGTGATCTACATTTTTTTTTTCTTACCTCACTTTTAGAATTGCCAATGCCACTCCTATCCCTGGAGACTTGCTTCGAGAAAACACAGATGAAGTGTTCCCAGATGAACAACTCAGTGATGGAGAGAATGGCTTCCCAGCTGCTGTGTCTCCAGATAGAGTGCCTGGGTCCCCGGGACACCCTCGTCCCCAGGAGAAGGATGTCTGGGAAGAGATGGATGCCAATAAGAACAAGATAAAGCTTGGAATTTGTAAGGTATGTATTTTTGTCTTATTGCAGCAAAATATAGTTCTCTATTTTGAATGAAAAATACAATGGAATATTGTATTGTTAATTAAATATTCATAATTGCAGTGCTTTGGCTAATTTAGCCCATAACATACATGTTATATGCACCAAATATTAATCTTCATCTTGTATTTTATGAAAAAGATAAAAGTAATTTAAAAATAATGCAAGGGCTAGATGTGTAGTTCAGTGGTAGAACAGTTGCCCAGCATCCACACACAAGCCTCTGGGTTCAGTCCTCTTTACTGCAAGAAGGGCAGGAAATAAAGGACACAATTTTGTCTTGATTAGAATTGCCCCCCTGTCAGTGTGGAGGGAGAGACAGATTTCTGAATTGTATAACTAAATTTTTAATTTAGGAGCAAGATTTTTCCCAAGCCCTTCTTTGATCTCATTATTCCTTGCTCCTTTCCCTTTTATAGAGGATAAGATGAAGACAGTTGGATCATAGGGGCAATGAATTATAAATCAGATGTGTGTGTGTTTATAAAGGTTTGGTTAGGAAGGAAGTTAAACTCATACTTGTGTGGTGAGGCTTGGGCTCGTACTTTAATGTGATTAACTGAAATCTGGCTGGTCATACTTTGTGCTTGGAACAGATGCGGGCAGGAACTGACTGTCATCAGCTCTCAGGAGTCTGGCTTCTCTGGAGACAGTTGTTAAGGAGATTGTCTTAGTTTTGGGAGGTTGCTGTAACAAAATCCTAAGATGGATATAGTAACCTAGAATATCCTAAGTTGGGCGTATTATAAGCAACAGAAATTTGTTTTTTGGCGTTTTGGAGGATGGGAAGTCCCAAGTCAAGGCAGATTGGGTGAGGGCCCACTTTCTTCTTCCTGCTTAGTGTTTTCCTTACATGGCTGAAGAGGCAAAAGATCTCTCTTGGGCCTTTCATAAGGATACTAATCTTAACTCCTGAGGGCTCCGCCTCTGACCTACCTAATCACCTCCCAACATTCACCTCCTAATAGCATCACTTTGGGAGTTAGGGTTTCAGCATATGAATGCAAAAGAAATACAGAACTTCAGGACATCCCAGTGGCAGGTACAGTACAGACTTTGAAGTCATGGGAGACACTTCCAAGAATGTTCTGTGTAGAGATGTGGTAAGCCACTTGCAGTCTGACTGTGAATCAACTGTCCTTCCTAACAGCGTTTAGGAATGAGTACTGAAGATTAAATGGGGTCGTAACAGGGGGATGTGTGGTACTGGGGATGGAATCCAGTGCCTCATGCCTGCTAAGTGTGCACTCTGCTTATTGAGCTACACGTGCAGCACTTTGTAGCATCACTGTGTCTGTGTTGATAGCACTATACTTTTTTGTTTTGGTTTGGTTTGGTTTTTGAGATATGGTCTTGCTATGTTATCCAAGCTGGCCTAGAACTCACTACGTACCCCAGGATGGCCTCTAAACTCTCAGCGCTCCTCTTGCCTCAGCCTCATGAGTGCTGGGATTTCAGGGATATGCCACCACACCTGGTTTTGTTTTCTTTTCTTTTGTACTTTTTTGGGGGCCACAGAGTCTCTTTTGTAATGTAGGCTGGCCTTGAACTCACTGTGTATCCCAGGTTGGCCTTGAACTTGAGGTGATCCTCCTCCCTCAGCCTTCTGAAGTGCTAGGATTACAGGGATATGCTGCCACAACTAGGTTGACCTTTTTTTTTAGCATTTTATGTGGCCCAGGCTGGCCTTGCACTTGTGATCTTTCTGCCCTATTCTCTGGAATAAAGTGCATGCTACCATGCCCAACTGTTCTTAGAGCTGGGCATGGTGGCACACAAGGCCAGCCTGGGCTACGTAATGAAACCATATCTCAGTAAACCAAAAATCTGGCCAGGGATTTAAAAGCTCAGTAGTTCTGCCACCTGCCTTGAAAGCACAAGGTTCCAAATTCAATCCCTGGTACCAAAAAAAAAAAATCCAAAACAATAAGGAGCTAATTTTATTATCTTTAAAATTTTGTATATAGGTATTTGTATTATTACAAAGCGTAAGCAAGCATGTAAACCCACCACTTGAGCTGAGAACTGAAATGTAATGTGTTCCTTCTATGTATTTTTTGTTTTGTTTTGTTGTGAGACAGGGTCTCGCTATGTGTAGTTCAGGCTGGCCCTGAACTCCCTGTGTAGCCCAGGCTGGACTTGAACTTGCAGCAGTCCTCCTGGCTCAGCTCCTGGGTGTTGGGATTACAGGTGTAGGCCACTATGCCTGGCTATTGTGACTTCTTTTTAAAGTGGCATATATAGTAACTAGACAGTCTTAGCATTTTTATGCTAAAATATTACATTGAGATATTTTTTAATTTGTTGCTCCTATTTTCAAAATTTCTATTTGTTCAGTTTTTTGTGTTTCTTGCCCACTTTTTTGGATTGTAGATTTTGTTCGTTTGTTTTCTCCTTCAGTTTTCTCTTTGTACTTATTTGGAATTTAAATATTCTAACTTTTCTTTTAACCAGACATAGATTAGTGCATGCCTTGGTCCCCGTTACAGGCAGAAGCAGGACGGTCACTTGTGTCCAGGAGTTCAGGGCCAGCCTGACAAGACATTGAGACCTCTTGTTTCTAAATAAAAGAAAGAAAGAATTGGGAAATCAGAGCCGTGCGTGGTGGTACTCGCCTGTAATCCCAGCACTCAGGAGGCTGAGGCAGGAGGATTGCTGTGAGTTCGAGGTCAGTCTCAACTACATAGTGAGACCCTGTCTCCAAAAAAAAGAATTGGGAAATCATTTTTATTCTATTCTTTTAGAAATTTCTTATATATTTTTGACATAAAGTCTGAAATGAAACAGTCTTAACCACCTTTCTGATATTTCAAGGAACTTAGAACATTTTAATTTTAGTTATCCTAGTATTTTAGTTCTGTTCTTTTTTTTAAAAGTCTTTCCTTTTAAAAAATTACTCACAGTAGCTTATTATTAGATGTGGTTCTTTTGTACAGGTAATGTTCATATGCACTTTCAAAGAGATTTACCATTTCCTTTGACTTCTGAAAGTCTTGGGCTCATCTCCCTCAAACATTTCCTTTAAATTGGGGCCTTTTATTTAATTTTAAATTTCTGTAGTGCTGGATGCTAGATAAGCACTTTACCACTAAGCCACATTCCCAGCCACTTCAGGTTTTTTTATTTTTATTTTTATTTATTTTTATTTTTTTTGAGACAGGGTCTCACTATGTAGTTGAGACTGACCTGGAACTCACTATGTAGCCCGGGCTGGTCTCAAACTCACAGCTATCCTCCTGCCTCAGCCTCCTGAGTGCTGGGATTACAGGCGTGTGCCACCACGCCCAGCTCAGGTTTTTGATAAAACTTTATTTCAAAGTTTACTTATCTAAAACTGTGTTTTAGTTTTATTCTTTTAAGACAGTTTACCCTGGATACAAAGTTTTTATTGAAACCTATTTTTCCTCTTGTTTCTAGTGGTTATTCAAAAGTTTTGTGTCATTCTCTTTCACTTGTTTTCTTTGGTGGTAATCAGTTCTCCTTGGATGCCCTCTTTCCTTCTCAGCTGCTGCTCAGCCCTTGTCTGTGATGTTCTGCATCTCAACTGTGATGTGCCTGAACATATATATCTTTATTTTGCTTAGGATATCTTGTATTTCCTGAATATTTTTATTTTTTTTATTTTTTATTTTTTTGGTACCGAGGATTGAACTAAGAACCTTGTGCTTGCAAGGCAGGTGGCGGCGCCACTGAGCTAAGTCCCCAGCCCTTGATTTCATGTTTTTGTGTCAGTTCTGGGAAATGTGCATCCACTCTACTAAATATTGTCACTTTTTCATTCTTTTAGCTCTTTCTAGGACTTCAATTATATATATATATATATATATATATTGTGTCTATTTATTCTATCTTTCATATCTCTTAATATCTTTTTTCATATTTTGCTTTTCTTTATCTTGTTTCACTCTTAGGTAATTTCTTTGACTGTTGTGTTCCAGTCCATTGATTAATAGATTAATAACTCCTTTTTCTTTGCTGGGTTTTGGGGGGTTGTTTGGCTTTGGTTTGATTTGGTTCTTTTGAAACAGGGACTTGCTTTGTTGTTCAGGCTGGCCTCCTGCCTTAGCATTCTGAGGGATGAGATTACAAGCTTGCACTGGCATGCCCAGCTTCTTTTTTAGACAAAGTCTCCCTGTGTAGCCCAGGCTGGCCTCGACATTGGGGTGATTTTTTTGTCTGAATAAGTTTGATAGCTGAAGTCTTTGAGAGTTTTAAACGTTACTGTTTTAAATTATTATTTGTGCTGGCTCAGTCAATTGTGGCATGCCTTCTTCCGTGTACTAGTGTTTTATTCATAATTAATAATTGACGAGAATTCAAATCAAGGCTCAAGGGACCTTCCCTTGGAGAAGGTTGGGTGGAGCATACACCTGCTTGGAGACCCCGGGCCCACCCTGCTGGTCTCTCCTCAGTACAGGTTCCCAGGCTTGCCTTGCTCCTCCTTCCTGCTCTTTCCCAGACATGTACCTCTCTAGCCTCAATCTTGTTATTTGTTTTTGAGAGAAGGAATAAGAAAGAGAAGGGAGTGACTCGTGTTTGGTGAGCTCTCCTTACTCTTTCACGGCCACTTACATCTCAAAGAGATATACTTTCCAGGTTTTAGCTTTAGTTTAGCAGAGTAGGATCCTGCAGGGACCTGGTCAGATTTAAGGCAAAATGCCACACATCTGTAATCGCACCACCCAGGGCGGCTGAGGCAGGAGGAATGCAAGTTGCCTCCACAGTTTAGTGATGCTCTGTGAAAAATAAAAGGGGAGGGAGAAGAAGTAAAAACATTAAGATGTGTTATGTATAGGCAGCATCTCCTCACAGTTAGCATAATTGTCATGTGCTGCAAACAGGTACTAATAACGAATTTTTTTTAAAGAAAAAGAAGTATGGGGCCAGGGATTTAGCTCAGTGGTTCCAGTGCCTGCCTTGCAAGTGCAAGGGTCTGAGTTCGATCCCCAGTACCAAAAAAAGAAAAAGAAGTACAGGTTGAGGATGGAGCTCAGCAGGTACAGCACTCCTTGTTTAGATCCCAGCACTGGGGGAAAAAAAAAAAGCCAAAGTCATTAAACATTTGAAAACTGTTTATCTTTTTGCTTGGCTTTTTTTTTTTTTTTTTTTTTTTTTTTGATACTGGGGATTGAACTCAGGACCTTGCACTTACGAGGCAGGTGGCAGAACCACTGAGCTAAATCTCCAGTTTAAAACTGTTTATCGTGTACCAAATATACACAATAATTTAAAAATAGCGAAAGGTTACTATAAACTAAGAATTCTTTTTTATAAAGGGCTAATGGGAATGTAATTAAGTATACTACCGAAAATATCCAAATCTGAAAATACGTCTAACCATTTGTTTCTATTCAGAGGCCTCAGTGGTTCCTCACAGGGGAGGTGCCTGGACTGTTTTTAATGGCTTTGTTTTCCATCTTTCTAGGCTGCCACTGAAGAGGAACACAGCCACGACCAAGCCAACTGCATCCTCCATGCCCCAAGCCTTGGTTCTCCCATCCGCGTGCGCTCAGAGACAGCTCAGCCTGACAGGGACGCGCGGCTGGTGCGCAGGCTGCGCTCCATCCACAGCCTGGAGCTGGAGAAGCGTCTGACCCTGGAGCCCAAGCCAGACACTGACAGGTTTCTCGAGACCTGGTATAAAATAGGGTTTCTTCCTTTTTAAAGGCTCTAAAGTGTAATTAGTATTTCTTTTCTTTTTTCCCCAAGACAGGATCTTGCTATGTAGTTTAGTTCAGGCTGGCCTCCAATTTAGGAGCCTTATGCCTCAGCTGCCTGAGTGCTGGAATTATAGGCGTGCACCACCCACCATACCTGGTAGTAATTCTTTTTTTTTAGGTACATTTTAGATGTACATAATGATAACATTCATCAAGGGGGATTAGTACCTGTACATGATATATCTTGCTGCTTTTTTTCCTATTCCTCTCCCCCCTTCAAATCTTCTTTCTCTCCTTTGCAAAAGTTTTGTTTCCACTTTTTTCCTTCTGTTCTTTTTTTCCTTATCCCTTCTTTCTTTTCCCCCTCTGACTTCGTTTGCTCCCCGTCTCATTTGAACATTTTCTTCTCATTTCCCAATGGCTACTATACACATTGGTCCTTATTCCACTTTCAGTTTCTCACACCAGAGAAACAACATGATATTTAAATGTGTGTCCGATTTATTTCACTTAAGAATATGGTCTCAAGGTGCTTTCATTTACCTTGAAATGTCTCAAATTTACCCTTCTTTGTGGCAGAGTAGTACTCCATTTTCTTTATCCACTCATCAGTTGGTGAGTATTTGGTCTGTTTCCAAGATTTAGCTATTACAACTCTGCTGCTATAAGCATTGGTGAGCATATATCACTGTGGTATGATGCTTTTCTTGATTTGGAAAGATGCTAAGAAGAATAGCTGGGTTGAATGGAACCTGTAGTTTCTGTTTTATGAGAAATCTCCACACTGATTTCCGCAGTGGTTACACCAGTGTTCCCTCCCTCCAACAGTGGAGAAGGGTTCCTTTTCCACCAGACCCCTGGCAGCATTTGTTGTTGGTTGAATTCTTGTTAGCAGACATTCTTTCTGGAGTAAGATGGAATTTCAACGTTGTTTTAATTTGCATCTCTCAAATGACCAGTGATATTAAACATTTTTTCATATATTTATTTGCTGTGTGTACTTCTTTTTTGTTGTTGTTGTTTGGTTTTTGTTTTTAGAGACAGGGTCTTACTATGTAGTTGAGACTGACCTGGAACTCACTATGTAGGCCAGGCTGGTCTTGAACTCACAGTGATCCTCCTGCCTCAGCCTCCTGAGTGCTGGGATTACAGGCGTGCACCATGTTTGTACTTCTTTGTGTGAGAAGGGTCTATTCATTTCAGATGCCCATTTTTGGATTGGGTCTTTAAATTGGGGGGGTCTAGTTTTGTTTTTTAGTTCTTTATATATTTTAGATAGTAGGCCTTTGAGAAGCAGTGGGCAAAATTTTTTTTCCACATTGTGGGTCTCTTTCTTTTATTGATGGTTTCTCTTGCTGTGCGAAAGCTTTTTAATGAGATTAGATCCCCGTTGTTGATTCTTTGTGATATTTTCTGTGCAATCAGAGTTTTGTTCATGAAGTCTTGGCCTACACCAGTGTCTTCAAGAGTTCCACCTTATGTGTCTTGCAGCAGATTTAGTATTTTAATGCTTAGATCTTTGATCCACTTCAGTTTTAGTTTAGTGCATGGTTAAAGATATATGTCTACAGGGCTGGTGTGCCTGCCTTGGAATCACAAGATCCTAAATTCAATCCCCAGTACCAGGAAAAATAAAAATATAGGTCTAGTTTTAATCTTGAGCATGTGGAAAGCCAGTTTTTCCAGCACCATTTATTAAAGAGGCTGTCTTTCTTTCAGTGAAGGTGTTTGGCTCCTTTGTCAAAAGGTGGCTGAGTATGTTTGAGTTGTTTCTGCATCCCCTAGTCTGTTCCACTGAGTTCAATTCTACTTTTTTTTTTTTTGCCAGTACCAAGCTGTTTTTATGATAGTAGCCTTAAAGTATAATTTCAAGTCAGGATTGTGATACTTCCTGCCTTGCCTTTGTTGCCCAGAATTGCCTTTGCTATTTCTAGGTCTCTTCTGGTTCCAAATGAATTTTAGGATTGTTTTCTCTAATTCTGTGAGATAAGTTATTGGTATTTTGATTAGGATTGCATTAAATGTGTATAACAGTTTTGGAAGTATGGCTATTTTTTGCTGTATTTGTTCTTCCTATCAAAGAACAAGGGATATCTTTCTATTTTCTGATATCCTCTTTGATGTCTTTTTTCAGAGTTCTGTAGTTTTCCGTGTAGAGATCTTTTTCTTCCTTAGATTGATTCCTAGGTATTTATTTCATTTTTTGGATGCTATCATGAAAGGTGTTCCTTCCCTGATTATTCTTTTTCTTTTTGGTACCAGGGGTTGAACTCAGGTCTTCTCACTTGCCAGGCAGGCGGCGGAACCACTGAGCTAAATCACCAGCCCTCCCTAATTATTCTTTCAGTGAGTTTGTTATTCTTGTATAGGAATGCCTTTGATTTTTGAGTGTTGACTTTGTATCCAGCTACTCTACTGAATTTGGTTTTTAAATCTAGAAGTCTTTTGGTGCATTTTTTTGGCATCTTCTATGTAGAGTTTTATGTCATCTGCAAATAAAGATGTTATTACTTCTTGCTTTCCTATCCTTATTCCTTTTATTTCTCTTGTCTGATTGCTTTCGCTGAGGACTATATTGAATAAGAATGGTAACAGAGGATGTCCCTGTCCTGTTCCTGATTTTAGACTGAAAGTTTTTAGTTTTTGTCTATTTAGTATGATGCTGGCTGTTGATTTGTTATAGATAGCTTTTATCAGGTTGAGATATAGACCATCTGTTCCAATTTTCTGTAGGGTTTTTGTCATGAATGGGTGTTGGACTTCATCAGATGTGTTTTCTGCATCTATTGAGATGATCATATGATTTTTTATCCTTGACTGTGTTAATATTTGTATTTATTGATTTCCATGTGCTGAACCATCCCTGCATCCCAGCATGAATCCAACTTGGTCAGGGTGTGTAACCTTCTTGACGATTTACTACATTCTGTTTGCCAGTATCTTATTGAGGATTTCTCTTTTCTGATTGAATCCTTCCCTGGTTTTGTTATAAGGGTATTGCTTGTTTCCAAGAATGAGTTTGGAAATACTGCTTCCCTTTCAATTTCATGAAAGAGTTTGAGAAGTAGCAGCATTAGGTCTTCTCTAAATTTCTCGTAGAATTCAGCAGTGAATCCATTAGGACCTGGGCTTTTCTTTGTTGGTAGATTTTTAATTACATCTTCAGTTTCATTGTCTGATACTGGTTTACCAAAAATTTTAATATCTTCTGAATTCAGCTTTGGTAATTAATAGGTTTCTAGGAATCTGTCCATTTCTTCTGTGTTTCCATCTTCTTTGGGGGGGAGGGATTACCAGGGCTCAAAATTGGGTCCTTGCCTTTGCAAGGTAGGTAGCAGAACCATGTGTTTCCCACCTTATTAGAATACAGGTTCTTGAAGTAGGTACTGATGATCTTCTGGATTTCTGTAGTATGTGTTTTGATTTCACTCTTTTCATTCCTAATTGATAAGGTTGGCTAAACGTTTGTCAGTCTTATTTAATATTTCAAAGAACTAATTCTGCAATTTATTGATTTTCTTACTCTTCATTGCATTAATTTGTGCTGTGATCTTTTTAAAAAAAAATTTTTTTTGAGACAGGGTCTCACTGTGCAGTTCAGGCTGGCTTTGAACTCACTGTGTATAGCCCATGTTGGGCTTGAACTTGTGGTGGTCCTCAGCCTCTCACATACTGGAATTACAAGCATTTGCCACCATGCCTGGCTGCTCTCATCTTTATAATTTATTACCTTGTATGAGCTTTGGCCTTGTCTTGCTCCTCTTTATTCTAGAAATACCCAGTTTTTCTGATGTGGGAATTCACCGCTGTAAATTTCCCTCACAGGACTGATTTCATTGTATTCCATCAGTTCCAGTATGTTGTATTGGCATTCTAATTGTAGGAACTGTCCGATTTCTTATTTAATTTAATCTGTTGGTTCTGCAGCCTGTCTTGCAAGTGCAAGGACCTGAGTTCGATCCCTGGTACCAAAAAAAGGGGAGATGTAATTTAATCTGTGATCCATTGGTTGTTCAGGAGAGTGTTGTTTGATTTCCATGTGTCTATGGAGTTCTTGTGGTTTCTTTTGCCATTGATTTCCAATTTCATTGCACCATGGTCTGATAATATGCACTATATAATTTCAGTTTTTTTATATTTACTTAAATATGTTTTGTGAGCTAGTATGTGGTCTGTTTGGAGACTGTCCCATGTGCAGCTGAGAAGAATGTGTATTCTGATGTTGTGGGGTAGAGCACTCTGTAGACATTTACTAAATCCATCTGTTCAATATTTCATTGTTGATTTTTTTTTTTTTTTTTTTTTTTTTTTTTTGGTACCAGGGATTGAACTCAGGTCCTTGTGTTTCCAAGGCAGGCACAGATCTACTGTGTGGCCCTGTAGACATACATCTTTAACCATGCACTAAACTAAAATTGTTGATTTTTTTTGTCTGGTTGCTCTATTTGTGACTGCGGAGTATTGAGGTCCCCCATTACAATTTTATTAGTGTTTATTTGATTTTTCGTGTTTGTTAATATTTGTTTTATATGTTGGATGAGTTCTTTATATTTGTTTTCTCTTTCTCTTGGGTTGTACCCTTTCTTGGTTAATCTTGGCTTGAAATCCACTTTGTCGGCAAATGGAATAAGCTACCCTTGCTTTTCTCCTGGTTCCTGTTTTATAGAGTATTGTTTTCCATCCTTTGACTTTCAGGCTATCAATTTTTAAAGATTCTTAAATGCAGCATACTGTTAGATCTTGCTTCTTGATCCATTCTGCCAGTCTTTTTCTTTTGATTGAAGTATTGAGACCATTTACATTGATTATACAAAAACTAGTATTTATTGATTTATCCTTGTTATGTTATTTTCCTATTGACCTCTCTTTTTCCCCCTCTGTTTAATTATTTCTCTTGCCTGGAGGATTCATTCTGTTGAGGTTCATGAAGTTGTAGTTCTTGTTATTTCTTTTTAGCCTTTGAGAACATTTTGGAGTGCTGGTTTGATGAGCATGAATTTCTTCACATGTTCTTTGTCATAGATGTATCTTATTTCTTCATCGATTTTGAAAGATAGTTTTGCAGGGTACATCAATCTGAGTTGGAGATTGTTTTATTTTAGGGCTTGAAATACTTCAAGTTCTTGAGTTGAGGGCTTGTGTTGAGAAGTCTGCTGTAATTCTAATGGGCTTTCCTTTGTAGATGATTTGCTTCTTTTCTCTGAACAGATTTTAATACTCAGTTCTTGTGTGAGTTTCTGGAATCTTAACTATTATATGTTTTGGTGTAGTTTTTTTTTCATGGCTAATTGCAGTTCTGTATGCCTCACTTATCTGTATGTCAAATTCTTTTAGCCTGTTTGGGAAGTTTTCTGCCAGTACTTATGTGAAATAGTTTTTTGTGTGTTTTGCTCTATCTCCTCCTTTATCATTGACTCCTATCAAACTTATGTTATTCTTTCCATCATTTAGAAGCTGTTAGATTGATTTTTTGTGCTCCCTTGCTATTTTAAGAAATCTTTTTTATCATGACTGCTAACCACAATCCTGTCTGATACTCTGCCCTCACACTGACTCATTCTGCTGCATATACTTTCACTGGAAGTTTTGATCTCTTGGATATCTGTTTGACACTGTTTCATGGATTCTATTTCTTTCCTGTGTTGGTTGATCATGGTTTCCATCATTTTTCTAAGCTCCTCTTTTTTTTAATCCATATTTGCTATAGAGCCACTAAAAATGTCTTTCATTATAGTCATCATCTCTGTACTTATCTGAGACACTGTTTATGTTTTTTGGTTTTTGTTTTTCTAGATCCTCATTTATCTGCTTTGTTACTTCCACTGTTACAACTTCAGAGAGTCAAGTAGGTGGGTTTGAAATTATTCCCCCTCGCTGCCTCTTGGGTTTTCCTTTGGTCAGCTGGAAAGGTGGGGTTGCATTGTGCTTGTCTTCTTATTTTCTTTTTAGTTTAATTCCTGAGTTAATGATTGTAAATTGCTTATGGCTAGTATCTTTATTGCTAGTTTTTAGAAACATTAGGAAATGACTACTTCTCAGAGATGTTTTCAAGGTGTAGCTAGATTTAGGGTTTTGAATCTGCAAGATCTTCAATTTATTGGAGATGCGAAGTTGCTGCCTATTTGGCCCATCCCCTCATTCTTTGGCATTGGTATATTGTATTGTTTATGACCTGTAGGCATTCTCAGCCTTGGCCTACCAGGAAGAGCAGTTGATGAGAACAACTGTGACATCTTGGCTAAAGTAATACAATCAACAATATCAATGACATTAAACACATCCTAGAAAATTACAAACTGGTAATTATTAATTTGGCACCTTTTACTGTACGAACTAAATTAGTGGGTATATAACAAAACCACAAACAAACCAAAAAATTGTATATATTGAATATGCCCTCTTTATGGTGATTTCACCCTCAGGGAAGAAAATGTAAAAGGAGTTGGGTGAAAAATATGAAATAGAAGATGAAGAGAGGGGCTGGGGATTTAGCTCAGTGGCATCGCCACCGGCCTCACAAGCACAAGGCGCTGAGTTTGATCCCAGTACCAAAAAAAAAAGCTGGGCGTGGTGGCACATGCCTGTAATCCCAGCACTCTGGAGGCTGAGGCAGGAGTATCGCTGTGAGTTTGAGACCAGCCTGGGCTACACAGTGAGTTCCAGTTCAGTCTCAGCTACATAGTAAGCCTGTCTC